GTTGTTTTTTTTTTTGTTTTTTTTCTTCGGAGCCATGGAGCAGTGTGATTCAGATACAAAGGCAGCAACTTTTTTGGTGTATTGTTGTTCTAGATACTAGACTAATAGACTTTAGTTCAGTTTTTCTTTTTTTCTTCTTTTTCTTTTTTGGAGAATTTGATGGGATGAGGTGTAGCTTACAGCAGCCCCTGCTGTTAAATATAAGTCATAGATTCCTGTACAATAAAAAATAGATCAAGGGCTATAATTAAATGACAAATTGATACCTGCAAGAGAAAAAAAGAGGAGCAATAACACCAAATTATACCATCACCAAATTTATCTTAATCTTCGTGCTCACAGTCTCGGCCCTGATCAAGAAACCCAACTGGAAAAAAAGCGTTCGCCTCAGATCCCGCGTTTCTCACTTAAACACGCGCTTCATTTCCATAATCATAGCCATCCACTCAGGCGACGTTCCACTTTGCGCTGATGTTTTCTGATGGGTTTGCAGGCAATCGGCTTACTGTTACGGGTCGATTGTCTAGGCCTCCCTCGGGAGCCTGGCTGCCTCCAGCTCGTGGAGCTCGGGTTGGGCCTGGAGGCGTCGGGAAAAAAGCGAGACGAGCGATGGAGGAAGGAGGCTTGTCTTACATTAACATGACGAGCCTTATACGACTCGTCGAGGGCCAACTAAGATAACTGGACCTAAATTGTTTGTTCAATAAGACGCGTGTGGCGTGTGGTGGCTTTGGTTTATTGTGTATTAATAATAATGTATTTGATTTTCCAATCCTAGCCCTTGTGTTTGTACCTCCCCAAAGAGATAACAAGAATGCATGCATTTATGCTAAATAAGGTATATGCTAAATAAGAATGAAATTAATTCATACTCATGGTGAATTAGTCTGGTTAAACAAGAATGGAATATTGCAAGTTCAAATCAGTATTGTTAAACTCTTTCCTCTTCATATAAAACCCTTCTCTTTGAATACCCTCAAGGAAAAAAATCAAAGGGCAAAACAAGGTTTCATAAAATTCCCCACTTGAATTTATCACACTGAGCCATACTTGATAAATGATTATACTTACAGGGGAACTATCTCTGGCGGTTTCAATATTTTTTAGTCCATATCATGCCAAACTGCAGGCATTGAAGCAGAAGGTTCATGATACACTGAATTGTGATTCAAGTAACTCTGATCAAGTGAAAAAAGTTAACAACTCCTTGTTTACTTCCATAAAAAACAAAAAAAAAGAAAAAGAGTTATCATTTGATGTACTACTCTTATGTACTTGTTTTTCTTAATTGTCGAATATTGTTAGACTTCCAGTAAAAAAAAACTGCTGTATTTTTTAATATTGATTGTTTTAAATTTTTTTTTTTTTTCTTATTGCTGGCCATTAAATTTGTTACGCCTGCCAAAGATTTTGTGTTAAATGGTGATTTTTCTATAGAATTGTATGTAAGTATTCACTATCTTTTCCATGGGTTTCCAATTTATTTGTCATATGTTTATAGCCCTTGAGTTATTTTTTATTGTAAAGGAATCTAATGGCTTATATTTAACAACAGGGGCTGCTGTAAGCCTGTAAGTAAGTCACAACAGCCCCCCAAACCCGTGTAGACATGGTCAAATTCCAGGCCCGGCCCGGCGGGTCTCCGGACTCGAATACAAGAATCATGAACCAGCTCTTACTTAAATACGGGTTGGGCTGGGCCCGACCCAGATCCCTGACCCATCCTAAAAAGAAAATGAAACTGTCGACGGGTCATATCTTCGAAATGGCTGACCTTGAATCGGCCTGGTTAAAATTCGGGCCCGGTCATATCTCCACCTTAAGATGGTATCACTATAATACTGATATTCCCCATTCTGAATCTTAATTTCGTATTGGATAGAGGAAATCATAATGCATTGATCAAAATATATATTATTCAACATAATTTTTCTTTTATTCATGGCTCTGATACCAAGATTTTTCAACGGGCTGATTCTTTCTAGTCCTTGTCGTCAGCATCATCTGACTTGCCTTCTTAAATAACTCGACGCCTTGCTAAAAGACACAATCCAACAGTTCACCTTGCCACATGCCAAAATGACCAGTGTCGTTGAAGATCGCCACCAGGAGTCTGACGTTAGGCATCATTATCCTTGTCGTAACGAGTGTGGAGGATGATGCTCTCTTAATCTATTTAATCATCTCGAACTCAAATGCACTAATCGCCTCACCGAACTTAGGGCGAACCTTCGAGTCTGATACCACTTGTTAGGTATCACACAAGCGTAGTAGACAAAATACCCCACAACAAAAATAACAAACACTACTACTAACAAAAATAAACCAACAAAAATATATAAATGATGGGAACAAAAAATAAGCCAACAATTGGAGACCTTTTTTTCATCAATTTTACTTTAGGGCAGTAATATGTAAATTCATTCTCTTCTATAAAGACCTCGTTATAATATATTTTAATTTACAACAAATATTCAGTTATTGAACGTTTTATTTCATTTGTTCACCAAGTCAATCGATTTTTTCTTACTAAAAATTAATCGACAACAAAAGTTATAACCATGTGGCACGTATACTTTACTAGTATCAAACAAACTATGCTTTACCATTTACCTGAACATTTCATTTATGTGATGTGGCAAAATGAATTTCCTGTACGGGCAAATTTCAGTTTTAACCACGTGCAACCAAAAGCAACAGAAAAAAGAGGAAGAAAGTGAAATTATTACCGGTTATTAAATTTTCAAACAAAAAACAGAACAAATACAACACCAAAGAACTAGACTGGCAATAACAACCCTATCGCAGTTGTCTGGGTGGTATTGCTCTTGTTGGTGGATTTGGTATCGAATCTCCGGGTCCCAAATCATCAATAGGCGGCCGCTGCTTGTGATGGTCAGTCACAGACTGGTACGCCATAGCCAATGCCAAAGCCTGGATTATAAATTTCATATTCAAACTAAAATCATCTTCATCTTTTATTCCATTTTTTTTTATTACTCTTCCAAAATGAAAAAACTTACGATGTGATCGTGACCTGGCAGTGCGTAAAGACCTGCTGGGACTGTAGTTTTCCTTCGAGTTTGATTTGAAGGGGCATCAGTTATTTGCTTAAACCCAGTCGGCAAAACAACTACGGGCATGCCCACGAGATTGCCCACGCAAACAAGTTCCCAGTCAGTCGCATTCCCTACAAAGGCATCCACTTTGAAACTTTCTCTTACTTCTCGTATTAGCTTCCCTCTAGCTCTTTGCGCCTAAAGAAAATTTAACACCATTGTTTTTTTATAGCTCGGATTTTTAAGAAAAAAGGATCACGCGGGAAGGAAATAGTTTCAAGTGTAGTACATACTTGGATATAATCTACAGCAGGCACAACACGGGCCCGCCGGAGTTCAAGAGGCCACTGGTCTTGGGCTTCGTAATCGTCATCCAGGCCCAATCGCTGCCACTGGTCAAAGTGGGCCAACATGTCAACATCCATGGTGAAGTTGAGAATTCCTTGAGCAGACTCAACAGTGTAATTAAGCTTAAACGGGATCATATTCACGCCTTTTGAACGAAGCTTTTCAACCACCTGTTGGCATTATTTACGAGTCAGTCGTGTCTACTTGAGGATGAAATATTAAGGGCGTGTTTGTATACAAATATATCCGCTCAAAATGAGTTTTTTTTTTTTTTTGTTAATCAGAGTTAATTTTGAAAACAGTTGTATGGTTAGTTGGTGGGATTTTGATTTTATATTAAAATAATACTTAAAAAAAATAATTAAAGTTGATTTTATGTAAAAGTAGGAGATAGATGATATGAAGTGACAGTTACTTAAAATTATTATGTAAATGGGTGAATAGTAAATTAAAGTTGATGTGATGTGGAAGAATGATTGGCCGGTCTTATTTAATTATATTGATAATATTGAGGATAGTGGAGTTGGGTTAAAGTTTAGTTAAATTTTGCGTATGGATCGAGTTTTTTGATATACACACACACCCTAAAAGATTCCAATTCTAAATCTACCGCTATGGTTACAATGAATTACACAATCAAACCTCAAGTTCTTTTTTTCTTGTTGTTTTCAAACAGCTGAGAATATTTTAGGTAATTAATGCAACTACAGGGGTAAATTTTATGATTTAGGCAATTGGACCTTGTTTTATTTATTATCAACTGCACTTACTTCCATCTCGGCATCCTCAAGGTACCCCACGTTTAGCTTCGTCACATCAACGGCGAACGGGTCAGAAAACGGTATGTTTTTAGATGAAAGATCGTCTGGATCCTTGCCACGGATTACGTCCAGTACAATTGCACAGTCTGTAGCATCTCTACAGAATGGTCCTAATTTATCCTGTGAATATATATACTCATGCAAAATCAAAATTGACCCCAGCAAAAACTATCAGAAAAAAAGGAGATGCATAGATAGAAAAAAATGATACCAAGCTCTCGGATAAGCTCAAAACACCAGTTCGGCCCACAGTTCCAAAGGTTGGCCTTAATGCCGTTGAGCCACATCGAGCAGCAGGATACGTGATTGATCCAGCAGTTTCTGAACCAATTGCAAAAGGAACCAAACCTGCAAAAATCGGATGTGCAGTAAATTAATCATCTTACGAGTTACGATCAACTATCCTTCTGGTTGGCCCCACTAGGAAAAAAAAAACCAGCTAACTGAAAAAATCAACCTTTAGACTTATGTTCACCTCACACATTGAACCCAAACTGTTTCTGATAAATATACCAAACACTACCTTCTGATCTTGCATCTTCCAATAAACAAGCACATTTACTAGAATATAACAAATAACTGAACATACATTTGGGTGATTTGATATCAATTCCGTCATGTCCTACAAAATAACACAACAAGGATGGTTTTATAATTTTCAAAACTAGTTTCTTTTTGTTTTCCAAATTATCCCAAATCTAAAGAGTATATTTTGTAACAATCCTTTCCAATTTCAGACAGGAGAATTTTTTGGAAATTTGACGGTATCAGATTCTTTTACTGCTATACCAAACCAAACCTCAAAGATTTTTTACATAGACTACCCCTAAGCTCAACTAAGAGATACCGGCTGAGGTGCTAGAGGCTGGTCCAGCTGATGAACCAGTGGAATATTCCTCGATATTCCAAGGGTTCCTTGTCCTACCCCCGAACCATATATCGTCATACGCAAGTGATCCAGTTACAAGCTTTGCAAGAAGAACTGCCCCAGCAGATTTCAGCCTGAAATTGACAATCAGCATATGCTAGAAAAGCATGTGAAAGCCCACTAAAAGTTTTTAAATGTTCTACTCAGTGTATGTGTGATTCTTGACTACCTCTTATAAACCCAAGCTTCAATGTCCAGAACTTGATTTTTGAATGTTTTACAACCCCACGTTGTCTTGTAATGTGGTACAGCAATGATATCCTTCAAGCCGTATGGAATTCCATGTAGTGGGCCTAATTAAAATCAAATAGACATGTCTGCTTCAAGATGTTCTACAGAAGAAAACCATATAATATTCCAAGAAAAAATAAATAAACAATTTCGTCCGATAAATATTCCAAGAAAACCATGCTTATGAGCGATTGGATACAAAATATTTTTGGCTTCGTTTCGCCGGATAAATATTTTCTGCCAGAACTAAGATTGGCTACAAATTCTTTTTTTTAACAAAAATCACTATTCATCTAATCCCATTTGTTTCTCCTCAATCTTGTCAATACAATCTATCTTTCTTATATATAATTCCCGAATGTGCTGAGCCTAAGTGACAGACTCGCATGCTTCGAGATCCTATGTAGCAAAATTTCATGCTTCATTATTTGGCTTGGTTCCAATCCAAAAATAATTAGGTTCGAATTGTCCATAAATGTACTGATTATTTATGGTCATGTTACATGTATTAATTACATTTTAATACCATTTCTTATTATAACCATTGAATTGTAAATGTATTTTAAAAGTTAATAACTATCGTATTTTATATCAGTTTTACGTATATAATATATCAAATAAATCATCGCTTGATGAGCTTCGAATTGACATCCATATTGTATGTATAAAATAAATAAATTTTATTCATCTTTATAACAATAATACAATCATTTGTTAATATTAATTAGAAAAATAAAATTATTTATCAAATAATATATTTATGTTTCAAGTAGTTATATGTGTTACAATATAACACATGTAAGTCGCACAAGTAACAAGTGACATTTTAAAATATATCATAATATATATTTTTTTGTATTGAAGTATTTAAATTTTAAAACACTTTTTCATTAATATTAAAATTTAAGAATAATTTTTTCACAAGCACCCGTGTAATACACAGGAGTTGTACTAGTTAAATAATAAAACCAAATTATTAGTACACATTTTCAATAAATTCACTATTCATCCATTTACATATTGTTAACTACCAATCATTTACATGATGAGTAATATTTTTCCATCACATAACTTTAATCATTACATTTTTTCTCATATTCATTCACAAATTCAAAAATATTTTATTCTTCCATCAAAATAATTTTTTTACTCTTTAATTCAAACAATTTTGGAAATATATACCCAATCGCAAGAAAATCAAAGCATTCCATCAAGGTAATAAGATCTTGCCATGATTCCAGGTATCATAGTTCACAAAAATATTCCCAGCCATGCTATCTCCGCATATAATTATATGAGTTATGACCACATTCATCACGCAAAAACATTTAAAAAAAAAAAAAAAAATTGCATACCAATATATTTGCCTTCCGCAAGCAACTGATCAGCTCGTTTTGCTTGCTCGTATGCCAACTCTTCTGTTATAGTGATGACAGATTCAAGGACAGGGCCATACCTACACCCAGTCCAAACTATGCATTATCAATCGAATAATTAACCACATATACCCTTATATTCATTCACTCAGTAACACCTTTTCAATCTATTAAGAAAGATTCGAGTCAGCTCCTCAGACGTAATTTGCTTAGACTTGATCAGGTGGCCCAGTTCCAGAATCTGATCCGACAAAAGAATCACACAGTAAAAAAAAAAAAAGTTGCACAATATGCAAGCTCCATCATGAATAAACTCATTGATATATTTTCCATACAAGCAAACTTACACTCATAAAGGCAATATCGTCATCACGCTTTGGCCTTTGTACATTAGACACAGAAGGATAGTTGAATCTTTTAGGGGCATTTCGGTCACCACCATCATGATGATTCCAAGCAGAAGTGAAAACTAAACTAGATGGATTTTCTAATCCACCATTAGCGGAGGCAACTAATTTTCGGTTTGACTGGATAATAGGAATATTGAGCTCCTCTGCACCTTTTTCAATTTCCAGCATCTGCACGATAACATATTCGGAACTAATTCTGGTTTTCATTTGATAATAACAAGAATATCCATTAAAGTCTTGAAATAAACCCTGTGCATTACCTTAGATTCGGACAGAAACTCTGCATCCAACATTTTGAAACCTCTACACAATGAACCCTGATCAATCTTGCGAGAGCACTTACTAAAGTTTCCGGATTGCATTTTGGCCCTGTCCTGACCACACACATGGAACATGTCAATAACCATATTTGAAAAAAAAAAAAAATAATAATAATAATAATAAGTATAAAATACAAATGAAATAGAAGTTGAGAAAGGCCAGCAACACCTTGTTTTACTGTCTAGACGAGCATTACCTGGGGATAAGGATCTGGGAATGACCCCAGACCTGCTTTATAACTTTTAGACTGTACATGTCGATTTTCACTGTTAAAAAGAAATTAGAAGTGAATCTGGATCTCTGTTTCTCTCATCCACTAATTTATTTTCATTTCATAGTCAGACATATGAAAATAAGTATTCTTTTTCAACCCCAACAGGAATTTCTTGAAAAGGGTCTAATCCAGCAATGGTGGCAACATGATAAACTATGTTTGCAGGCTACTAACCGCAGAAATGCAAATTAAAAATGATTGCATAGCTTATATGACATACTCATTGTCCCTATCAACTTACTAGAACCCCATAATTTATACTCCATCCAGTATTAGATAATTTATACAAGTACGAATCTTTCTACATGATCTTATTAAAGCATGCATCTTAGAGGAAGCAACACCTTTCCGATCCCGTCACTATTTTGAATTAAAAATATGATTACAAAATATCATGACAATAAATTTGATCGTGTTACATAATCCACCAATTTGAAACAACCTATTATGCTTATATATATTAGATGAACTGTAATATTGAGTAACAATTATGCTTATGGCTGATCATTCTTCTGTAATTCATTAAAGAAAACCATTGTTAATTGGTTATTTAATAAAAAAATCAAGGCTGATTTTATTAGAAAATGACAGCTGAACCATTTTGGAAGGAAATGTACTCAGGTGAATTGTTTCTAATTGTTGGTAACAATGAAAGCTTCAATCAAAAATCCCGGCTGGTAGTAACGAAAGTGAACAAAGCTTTTCTCATTGATTTAACTTGTTGATAAATCAAGGCTAGTTCTGGTAAAAGATCACGGATGAACCAATTTAAGATGGCTTGTAGTAATCAAAAGCTTCTAAAATTATCCTTCCACCTTTTTATATAAAGATGTTCAATCTTCTTTGTACTTCTCTCAACACACGTTCTCACTTGCTATTCGCTAGAAGCCCACAGCAAATCAAGCAAGGCTCTTTTTGTGCACAAGTACATTGATCACATGTACTCAAGTAAGGAACTCATTTGACTAGGTGAAAAAAAAATTAAAGGTTAAGCCCAGAAAATGAGGCATTTCAATAAATGGTCCCAAAAAATTGTTTAGCTAAACTAATGTAGAGATAATAAACAATTCACATACAAATCCACCCACATTATATTTTCACCATGTTTCTAACAAAAGAAGGAGTAAAACGAAACAATCACAAAAAATTGAACTTTCACCCAACCCAAATTGAAAAAGAATAAATAAATAAAGTGCAAGACAAGAGAAGGTACCATATGGAGTGTAGAATCCAGAGCAAGGACGTAGTTCTGAGTCAGTAATAAAGAAGTGGCGCGGTTTAAATACAGAAGCAGTGATGTGAGTACGAGGAAGATATACGAGGAGATACGTGGCGAGTAAACTGGCCCATCAACGGGACACCTGTCGACGAGCTGGGCTGCCCACCTGAAACTCATACCTCAAATCTGTTCTTGCACGATTCTGTCTTTGGAAGACGGTTCCCTCTTGTGTGGGTTTTCTGTCCTTGTTTTTTCTAAATTTTGTCAGTTTTTTCTAATTTCTGTAGCCGGGGAATAAATGAGATTTGTACCGTGTATTCAATTAGGATTTCTAAGGAGTTTTCAAGACTTTAGAAATCCTGGTGTATTCAATTTAGATTTGTTAAGACTTTTAAAAATTCTAGGGTATTCAATTGGGATTTTAAAAAATCTTACAAAATCCTGATGTATTTAATTTATTTGACACTAGGATTTTTTAAGACTTTTTAAGATTTGGTGGGATTTTTAAACAAAAAACCTTATACAAAATCCTACTTCAAATCCTACCTCCAAACTTCAGATTTCAGAGAATTTCTCCAAAATCTGGAAATCTTAACAAATCTCAAATCTTAAAAAGTTTTAAAATGTCACTTGAAATCTTAATTCAATACACCCTTCTAATATTATTTACTTTTTATAAATAATTTAGTCCATAATTTAGTCAATCTATTATAACTAGTGCGTGGCCCGTGTACGAGAAAACAATATTACGATCCTATTATAAATAAAATATATAAATAACATTAATCATGATTTATCCATTGTTTTTAAATTAAACCGAGTTGGACACAGTCCGACCGAATAGACCGAGAACCGGTTTATAACCAGTCTAGTTCGCTTGAATAGAATATTTGCTATCGAATTCGTCAACACCAGTCGGTTGGACGGGTAGGAATGATACGATTTCTAAATAAATTTTGCTACATTTAAAATTATCTTAAATAAAATTACATATTTAAATAAAATAGTGATTTATAAATTATCTATCAATTGGTTTAAACATTTTAATTTATAAATTATTTAGATATTTAAGTAACACATTTTATTTAAAGTTATTACAAAAAATGCTATATATATATTTATTAAAATGTTTATAGATTAAAATCTGAACAAACCATAAATGATTTAATAAAATAACTTGATCGTTTCGATGATAGTCCGGTTCTGAAAACCTTATTATTATTGTACGTTAATAAACATCATAACAAAATATTATTTAATTCAAATAAATTAATAAAATGATATATAAATATTCATAAATCATTAAACATGTTGTCGTAAAAGTATTGTTAATACGATTATTCGAAGTTTGGATTACATCATATTCACGTAATAATGTATTTTCAATGTTAAAATTTATATTTAGGTTCAATAATTGATTTGGTCTGGTCAAACTGATACATAACTTAGTCACTTGGGATCAACCAAGTTGTGTCAAGTTTTTTTACTATTTTAAATATCACCTAAAATTAATTCAATCAACCCTAATTCAATCACCCGATTGATCCAAAGAAATTTCCTTATTTTCTTTAAATATATTTAATTTTATGAAATAAAAATATTTTAGGATTCATATAATAAATGTCCACCAAATGATAATATATTAAGATTATAAATTATATCTCTAAAGATAAATTAGTTATTTTTACTTTATGCATATTAATAAAAAATAGACATAGTAATTGTCAAAAAATTAAGATTAATTTATTGATTATGAAATTTAAAGAATATTTTTAACATTCAATATTTTTTTTAAAGGAACAAATATAAAGACCGAGATTCTAAAACTTTTGTTATATTTTCAATTGAGATTTCATAAATATAAAGACCGATATTTTAATGTTATTCGTTGTTCTAAGAAAAAAATAAAATAAAAACATGCACACATAATAAATCTTAGGCGGAATTTTAAATAATAAAATGAACTAAAGCCCAAAATTTAAGGTGGCATTTAATGTTGTATGTTTTTAAAGAATAAAATAAGAAAAATAATAAAATTTACTATTTATAGGCTCCATTAAATTTTGACCTATTTTTTTGCTACTATTTTTAGTACATGATAATTTTAATTTATATATGATACGTGAGAAATCTTATATTTATTTGTGAGTTAATTTGCATAATTTAGTATTTGAGTTAAGTGTATTATTAAAGTTTTCTCACGTATTTTATTTTGTGAATGGACATACACCAATATTTGGGGTTTGTGTTTATTTTGTAGATTAAGCCCTTTTTGATATTATGCCCAATGATGACTTGGCATTGTTGAGGTGGAAGCTATCTAGGAAATGACATGTACTTAATTTAACGTTGCCAAGGATTTAAAAGCAAAAGAAAAAAAATGAAGATGAGGATTCCTTATTGTTGTTGTCGCCGAAATTTTGAGAGTTGTTCCAAGTTAAATGGAATTTATTTTTTTGCTTGCTGGACTCTTGGAATGGTTACTTGGGCAAGTGAATTTTAATTATAGTGGACTCTCAATTGCTTGACCAAATTTGGAGGATAAAGGAATTTAATTGGAGTGGAACACTCAATTTTGCTTGGAGTCTGCGTGGCATTACTTAGGACGAATTAAGAGGCAAAGAGGCTGGGTCGATTTTTTTTTCTTGGAGTACTGTTGTAGTATTTTTAACCGGAGTAGAATCGAAAGATTCGTTCCCCGGGTCGTATCGCAAGGAAAGTCAGCCGGATTATTTTGTTCGATTATTCAATCACAAAAGTAGATAAAAATCCTAAACACTCTAATTCAATGATTTGGGTTTCAATTATCAACTACCAACTTTAAATTAAATAAAGCACGAGATGAACAGTAACGAATTAACTGAGAACTTAAAGAGCTAGGGAATCGGGGACAACTGCTTTCGGTTCGTACACAACTACCGGCAATCAATTGCTCGGTTAAAGGAAGTGAATCGTCTCTTGTTTAGAGGTTCACTCTCAATAACTCTTCGTAACAAGAGAGTGAACATATACGATTGACTATCAAATCCAGCAACTCATAGACAATACTTTGACGAACAAGTCTATTCTAAACGAGCCTAAATCGACCAATGTCTCCCCTTTCGGTTCTAAACAATGATTAACTAGGTTATATAGGTGATCAATCTATTAACCCTAAATTGAACTCAACTCGCTTAGATATGAGCAATTAAGAACAAGCAATTATAATTGAACCTAATCAATTATCCCCTATCCCTAGCAGATGGATTTAGCTACTCATAATGGATTTGATCACACAAACATTCATAACCCAAGACATCAGCTGCTAGCTAGCGGCGCTAAGGCTCGAACAGCAGTTTTCTCTTCAGCTCGTTACCATAATGCAGCGGCGCTATGTCCTTAGCGGCGGTAGCGACCCTTAGCGGCGCTAACTCAACAAAACTTGTGCTTTTGTGTCCCGTTCCGGCTCGCCTAACCTCCCCCGGTCGACTTATAAGTCCCCAACTGTCTCGTGCACTCCCGAGTTCCGCCCGAGCTCGAACATTGTCCTTCACATGTTGGTCCGCACGACTAGCTGAACGATCCTAGAGCAGCGTTTCGAATACCTGAAACCAACACCAACCGAGAAAACACGGAAACAGGAGAATAGGAAGAAAGAAATACGAAAAACACGAAAAATACAGAAATAACACTAAACGCACAAAATGACTCAAATGACCGGAAAAACCTACAAAACAATCTAGAGTGGGAAAAGAAAGATAAACAAAATACCACAAAAGTAGTAACAAAAATGGGACTAACAAGTACGTGAACAGAGGGAGAAAAATTCCATTGCTGCGGAGAATTCACTTTAGCCGTGGACATTGAGGGAGTTTGTTTTATTTAGTTTTATTTGCTTTGGTTTATTTTGATTGAACATTATGGATTATTATTTTTATTTTTATTATTTAGCTATGTGTAGCTAAATACTTATTTCGGTTCTAGGGACGTTAAACCCTCGATGACTATGTTTGATGTGTGATTTTACTTTATGACATGACATGAAAATAGAATAACACAATCAACTTTATACGACGAGTAAAACATAGTCAATTGTAGCAACTAACAGTCGTGCATTGTTAGTGATAACTCAACATAAGTTACATGAACCGAGCTTATGTGTTTGTGGCTTAAATCGGTCTATTTTCCTAGATTTTAATGCGACTAGTGGATTAAATTAGGAGAGCTTATTCCGAGTTATTCGCTAGTTAGAATTAATTGAAGAGCCTATTTCAATTAAGTATAAATTAAGGAAAAATTCGAGTAGCAGAGCTTATTGCTATCTAGGACCGGTAGTTTTAGAAGACGAGTGAAATTTGATAAAAGCATTAATTGGGCTAGTTATTCGAGGGTGTAGACCGACCTGGAACCGATTCCATTCTCATCTTTGCTAGATTATTTTTATTTATTTTCGGTTTCATCATCTTTGGCATATAATTCATTTATTTTTAGTTTTAGTTTATTTCTTATTTTGCTAGTAGTTTCGTAATAAATCAAATCCCCCATTTTTATTTTAATCTAATTAATATAACAAAATCACGGTTTATACCACATCCCTGTGGGATCGACCTTTGCTCGCCACTACTACTAGTTAGTAGGGGTAAGTTAGGAAAAATTATAAATTCAAATTTGCCGTGTAACGACGCGCGGTCAATATATCCTCTCATATATATAAGAACATCTCCAACGGAAATGATCTATTTTGTGTTGTATGGCATGGAGAATGAAAACTAAAAAATTACGTCTGCAATGGCTGATGTTAATTGTGGTATCATTTGTGATGTATAAAATTTTAATTGGTTGAAGAATATATATATATATATATATATATATATATATATAAATTAAATAAATATGCTAATATACAATGAAAGTTATCTAGAAAGGCTTCTACAACTAAAAAGCCTTCTAGAATTTTTTCAAGCCACATAAGATTATTTGTGCCATGTGGCAACAAAATAGAGAAATAGAATGACTATTGGAGATGGTCTAAGAGCACCCACAATGCTTTGGTCTCTTAACAAAAAATCACATGTAATATAAGAAATAGATATAGTTTATAAAAAAGTGTTTCACAATACAATTAAAAGTGGACCTAGTCTAGCTTATGTGGCAATGAAAAAAAGAGACCAAGTCCACTGGGTTTATTTTGGACCCAAGTGTGAACCTTACAATAGTAATCATTTACTATTATTATTTATTATTGATTGTTAGATATTCTAGACCTAGTACTTTTTTTTTGCATTGGATAGATTTTGGATTTTTTAGCTTGGGTTTGTACATGTCATTATAGACTTAAGTCTATTTATTTGCCATATATGCAAAAAGAGACCCAAAGCATTGTGGGTGCTTTAAGAAAACGAGAGTTTTTTGAGCGGCCTTCTCAGCCTGACGCGTGGCTTTTTTGGGCCATTTTTGCGGCATTTTTTACGCTTCTTATTTTTTCTTTTGGGGAGTTAGACAAACGACGTCGTTTCGATATTTGGGTTTATTTATTGTATGTCAAAAAACGTTTGGGCTGATAGAGATTTATGTGTAGGTCTTGTCAATTTTTTTTTTGGAAATTTTTATTTCTCCCACACATTTTGTCTTTAATTGCATCTATACTACCTATATGAAATATATTGCATTAATACCTAACTCTACCAAATAATTAGTATTAGCATGAAAAAAAAACGATCATATCCCCTTAATTTGTGTAACTGATGAGATTACAATTGCCATTATTTTTGGTTACCAAAAACAATAACTGTTTTTCCCCATAAATAGATCAACTGATATAATAATTGTCAAAGGGACCTTCCTAAAATCATGCACATATATGAATTCGCTGGAAAAGAAAAAAAAGTAAGTGAATATAAACTATTTTGTAGGAATTTGTTGTTATCAACATGGAAAGAAATATAAATTAAATTTTAAATATACTCTCTCTCTCTCTCTCAAAATAAATTAAAAACACGATTAATAAAGATACAGTATATACACGATCACAACTTATGTATATTTTAGGTATATTTTATGTCTATGTTGGGATCTGAATGAGATCCGCAGTTCAGGATCGAGTGTATATCTTAGGTATATTTTATGTATATGTGGGTTCTGAAATCGATTTTATGTATACCTTAGGTATATTTTATGTATATGCGGTCAATCTTCTTGTTCTTGGGCGATTTCTTGAGAAGGGCCGCAGTGGAGGGATTTTTTGGATGCTACATTACTCGGACGGAAACATATACTGAAAATATACAGTATATACCTATAACATATACTCGGTCTCTCTCTCTCTCTCTCTCGGCGTTGTTCGGGTCACGGCAAGGGCTGCTTCTCGCTCTGTTCGAGGGGATCGTGTGGGTTGCTTCGGGGCGATGACTCTCGGCGATGGCAGAAAAGGAGGCATGCGATGCCGGGCTAAGGCGTGGCTGTTTGCGGCTATTGGAGGTGGTTCGACGACTAACAGATTCATGAAGGGTGAATTGTAGAAGAAGAAGAAAATTAAAGAGGAAGAATGGTAGAAGAAGAGAAAAAAAATAAAGGACGAACTGTAGAAGAAGAAGAAGACGATAGAGGGAGAGAGAGAGTGATAGACAGAGAGTGGGAGTGCTGGGATATTAAATCCTATTAAGTTAGGTAACTAATTCCAATAAATGTGGTGGGGATATTAAATTCTATTAAGTCAGTTAATGACATAATGTGGTATTTGTGCAAATAAAATCACTAGACTATGTGAATATCGGTTTTGCTATGGAGCCAACAGTTGGCTCCATAGTGGAACCAACCTTCTATATACATCAAATAAACCTACCATATTCATTTTCTTTGATTACCTAAATAACACTAATATAATTTTATGAATATGGTAGGTTTATTTGATGTATATAGAAGGTTGGCTCCACTAACAACTGTTGCTCCATAGCAAAACCGATGTGAATATGTTAATATTTATATTTATGTAATAAAAAAACAAACTGATTGTCCATTGTGCAATTTCCTCTTCTTTTTTTTTTCGGCTTTTTTCGAACACTACCGCTTCAATTGCTGCCGCGAATTCGATTTTCTTTCGTTTCTTTGCTAATCGCCTGCCCCGCCGGTCTGATTCGCCGCCGTTTCTTCAATGCGACACTGTCGGTCGCCCTGCTGGAAAAACCCGAGGCCAAGAAAGTCAGCCGACTCAAGACCACTTACCTTGAGAAAATCGTCCCCTTCCTCAAGGAAGAGCTCAATTACACCAACATTCACCAGGTATGTTGTGCTAATTTTTGCGTTTATTTAGAGATTTTCTTTTATTGTCTGTGGTTTATTTTCTACAATTAGAATGATAACAACAAATGAATTGTTACGGTTTTCTTTCGTTTGATTTCTCCCTAATTGTTGTGGTTGTGTTTACAGAACCATCATTAGGTGTGGGTTTTCTAATTATTTTAATAGATTTAGTGTGTTTGTAGTACTTACCCCTTGTTCATTTTCTGTGTTTGATTGTTTTAATAGATTTGGTGTGTTTGTAGTACTTACCCCTTGTTCATTTTCTGTGTTTGATTGATTTGATGTCTTTAGATCTTATCTCATATATATATTTTTTTTGTCTTTGGGTGGTAGTAAAATAATGTAGGGTTGTGCGCCGTATGCAAATTTTTTTTAATTGTTCTGCACTTTTATTGCAGGTATGCTTATGATCCGGGTACTGTACCCATGATTGATTGGTATATGAGAGGATAATATCAGATTGTCATTTTTTGCATACTTTCCTTACACCGTTGTGTTGTATGTGTAATTTTTTCGTCTGCTGCCTTCTTTTTCTTTTTATTTTCCCTCTATGCGGTTAGTTTGATAATTATTATTAAAGTTTCTTCAAAACCATCTGCCTGCGAAAAATTGTGTGTATTTTTGTTTGTATGTGGAGTTTGTTTCTTTATTTTTCATATGTTGTGTTTTGCTTTTCCTTTCTTCTTTTATTGTATTGTTTTTTGGCCAGCAGGATATCAATGTTTGTGAATATTTTTAATCTTTTGTTTACATATTTGCGGCTTTGCTTTTTTTACTTTGTATGAGTAGGTTTGCTGGTGTTTGCTTAGGAGATTTAGGTGTCTGCTTGTTGTGGTTCATTCATACTTAGGGTTTGTCTAAGGGTTTACAGGTATTTCTATTTCATGTTCGTCTTGTTTGTTGATCATGCTCTTTTTAGTTTTACTTTCTCTTTGGAGTTGTGTGTTTTTTTATCCTCTATTTTCTTTTATCTGCAAAATCTGCATGTTTCGGTTAGTTTAATAGATGGGAATACTTGCACTATGTGACCAACCTACAATCATTTCGACTCTATGGTGTGACATACTCTATAGTTGATGGTTGATGATTTCATGGTTGTTTTGCTTTGGCTTGTGGTTAAATAATTGATTAATTTCTTTTTTAGCACTTTATCATTGCCTAGTGGTTTGTTTGTTTATGTACACATGTGCAATTTCTTTTCCTCTTTGATTATTAAGATTGTTATATAGTCAGCACTGTTTGAGGTAGAAGTTACTTACTACTTTTATCGTGAATGTGTGGAGACTTATATGTCATGTTTTTGGTATCTTTTGTGTTTCATGAACTAACTGTGGTGTCATGTTGGTCATTTAAAACAAAAACTTCCATTCGTTGTTTTTATCGTTCCATCTGGTCTGTCTGGGTGTTTGGTTTACTATACTTTTGTACTTGTGTTTCCTGATTCGTGTAATTGTTTTGTATGCTTGGGTACTATTTTTTACATTACTTGGGGTTTCATTGTGGTCTGCTACTTTATCTGTTTGTTGTTCAATTAGTTGACTGTTGATTTATTAGAAGGTTCTGTTGGTTGGTTAGCGTCAGTAGTCTATTTAGTTTTTTTTGTGAGGTTTCGACTTTGTTGTTATGTGCATTATTCGTTCTTGAAAACAATTGTCTGTCATGGTTACAAAGTTTTTGCCAATTGTCTTCATAGTTTAAACTCCTTTCTAAATGTCTGTTCTCTTTTTACCTGTCAAATAGGTGCTTTCTTTTGGTTTATGCATGCATCCTCAATTCTTTATTGCATACTGCTATAACATTATTTTTGCCAAATTTTTTGCATTGGCTTATGATGTTCTGAGTATTTGGCTTTTGACAATTTTTGTTTGTATTATATAGGCTGTCAGAGTGTTTGGTTTACCTTCTTGCTTTCGGTCGCTTCGTGGTGTATAGCAATAAGCTTTTATGGTACAGACATTTATTTTACTTTAGCTTTCTTGTGTTTGCATTATTCGAATGCTAAGTTTTTGGTTTTTCGGGTATGTGCTTTGTTATATCATGTTGGTTTGTTGAATTTCAAATTTTTGGAGGCAACTTTGATATGTCGTGTGTTTTTGTCACTTTAGTTTGTTTTCATTGAAACTATTGCATCTCCGTCTGGATTAGTTTTTCATTAATAAAAGTAAATATTTTTGTTATTTTCTACCATTTTTATTTACTGATCTATGTGTAACCTTTTATTCAATAACAATAGCTTCAAAATATAAACTAAGCAGAACCTCATATTGCATTAACTCTAAACATTCCCTTTTTCTTTACACCAGTATGATGAAAAAAAAAATAAAAAAAAAGTTCTATATAAGTTTTTTTCGAACACATATAACAGGGCCATGCTGGCTGTGCTTAGCACAGCCGGCGCCATCTAGTATATATAGATATAGATTTAGCTTTATTAAAATACATTTTGATCTTGAGTCGGATTCCGAGTACGCAAGATATATTAAAACATAATTTTCATTCGTCTCTTATTTGATATGTCTAATGTTTATTCTTCACACAATTCGCAAAGCTTGTTCATAAAATCAGGGCGACTTAAATTTGAGAACAGAATTTGCTCCGGCCAAGGGTTCTCCGGCGTCTCCACCCCGGTACGCTTTCGCTCTCCATCTTTATGTATTCCTATTGTGTGTATCTATCTATGTTTGTGTGTGTGAGGTCGATGATAGCGAAGCTTTAAGTCGTCTACTGAAACTCGGCTCCGAAAATTTATGCCCTCTTCCCTAATTTTTTCTCCACGATTGCAAAGCTTGTATTTTTCGACTTTCTCCGTGAAGAAATTTTATTTTTATGATTAATTACCTAGGTGCTGGGTAATACTTTGATGGTGGGACATTTGAACATGTTACCAGAAAAACAGAGTCCTCACGCACATATTAGGTTTAAAATTTGGTGGCATTGAGCATTTTGCCTTTATGCAACCCACTTATTCTCTGTGCTGGAAAAGGTAAAACAAGAAGAAAGAATAGAACATAAGCTTTGACCGAATTTTAATCCCTTTGCCGCTGTGTTTGATATGCTTTTGTTTATCACAAAAATAAGAAAATACAGTTTAACCAATCAATTATAAAAGTCAATGTCACTGTCAGAGTTAAAGGGAAGCAAAAGAGGAAAAAAGGCCCATACCTTAAGAGCGAAAAATTGCGCACAAGACAACACCCCCATTTCCCCTGCAAAAGAGGAAAGAGGCCCATACCTTAAGAGCGAAAAATTGCGCACTCAATAACTTTAACCCACCAATCTAATCGTATCACATACCAGAATTCCATATTGGTGCACACTCAATAACAGGGGAGTTGTTAATGAACAATCAATTCCGAATGCAAAACCATGAATTGCAGCTTCAACTTCACTCTGGGACACAATCCGGACAGTCCCGATTTACCAAGAGATCTCCATCCTTGAATGTGCCCAACTCAGTCCTGCAAACACCCAATATCGAAAACCCAATCACAAAATGAGAACAAAAACAAATACCCTCATGACAAACAACCTGAAACAAACAAATTTGCTACAAACGAAATGTAAATCAATTTACAGTCCATTCGTACTTGCAGCGAGAAGATGGTATTTTTTTTAAGATAAATGTAGCATAATTGTTATTAGGGCAGTTCACAATTGAAACGACAATTAGGTAAAAAAACAAGCTCCACATGATCAGCCTCTCATGGTAGTTACGAAACCCAACACACAAAGTTCAAACTGAACAAGCATAATAAAAATCAAAATTAATATTAAAACGATAAATAATAATCATCAGATCTAAACCACATCACATCAGATCAGATCTAGAGCTGGCCGCAGTCGGCAATCACGTGNCTCAATTTGATTGATCATTTTGTTGCTAAGTATCAGTCATCTAGAGGCTGGGGTTTTAGTTGCAATCAAGAGTTTAGAATGTTTATGTACTCTTGTTTCAGGATGTTTTCTCTGGATGAATAAACATTAAACAGAATTTTGTTTACTGCATACCATATACACAGTGTGTGCATAAGAAGGTTCTTAAATGGTTGGATTTGTACTAGAATCTCTTGTTGAACACACTGGACCATAGCTAACATGGGTTCTTGCTAATGGTTATAACCCTTTGTGAGATTACATGGGAATTATTATCACATCAAAGCCGAGATAGTTTAAAGATAACCCTTGTCGAGGTTTCGTGGGGATTGTGCATAGTTAGTTGATGGCAAGATCTGTATACCATTGCTTATGGATATCTTTGGAAGGACTAGTTTTTCACTAGAGCATAACAGTTGCACAATTGAATATCTTGATTAAATGGATTAATCTTGATAACTTGAGCGAACTACTCAGCATCTGCATGTAACGATGATGTTTGTCATGAGCCTGTTGGCTGAGTGCATCTTCAATGTGCCAATTTTTTTGTCATGAGCCTGTTGGCTGAGAGCATCTTCAATGTGCCAATTTTCTATCATTCAATGCATTATGTGATCATAAATGTAAAAATGATATGGACAGATTATGTCTAAACAAAAATTCTATGGAGCCATCGGATGATTTTCTTATGGAGCCATCCACCATTTAATGTATTGACACATTTCCAAAGTGTATTTATTGCAGGACACATGTCAATACATTATTGGTGAATAAGTGTGGATGACTCCATAAGCCGAGCCATCCGATGACTCCATACATTATTGGTGAATAAGTGTGGATGACTCCATAAGCCGAGCCATCCGATGACTCCATAGCAAAACTGTATGTCTAAAATGTAGAGAATACTATAATCAATCCACATTCTCTTCTACAGTGGAAATAAGACGGAGAAATATTTTGGTTTGCATACATTGTTCGTATTGAGAGAGTTTTGGAGTTCTATAATTTATAACTTCCCATTGTGGTTTAACAAAATTTATTCAATAACAACACATGAACTCTAAAATACTATGACCTGGATTAACAACCGAAATTATCTATCGCTTTGAAAATTAAAAAAAATAAAAATAAAATAACAACCGAAAGAAAATGGTAATTTTTTTCTTGGACATTTCAATCCAAACCCCATTAGAACTGGACTACATGTTAATCAATTGAGCTCGTTCAGCCAAAAATCTTTTATTAAATAGAGAATGAGTTTGAAGTAACTTTTAAGTTTGTTTAGATGAGCCAGACTAAATGGTAGACTGGCACACTTCACTCTTCCTGTCAGACTCGTGGGCCAGACTAAACTTTGGAAGGTTTGCTAGCCTAAACGGGCCAGACCATCTGCCCCTCCAAAGAATCAGTTTCGGTGGGATGTGAGTCTATCTGTCCTATAGCATTGTTTTGACATATTTAAGACGAATTTTCATCTTTACCATGTGATTTGAAAATAATTGTAATTGTACAATGAGTCAAATCTTAATTGCATCTGTACAAATTACAAGGCATTTAATTGTAAAGATGCAGGATATCAGTTACCAAAACAAATGCAACACCTCCCTTAAATTGCGCAGGTTATTAGATTTTCGATGTAACATAAAAAAATATTCTATATGGTAAAGTTATATATCTTACAAATTAGGATGTTGTTTCAATACAAAATAGAAAGAGAATGAATTTTAATTTCAAACTACATCATCTTCAAAAAATATACAGACTACACGATCGTGAATATTAGTCCATGTTGATAAACAAACGCTAAAAACTATATGAAATCCAACAGGTTTTTTTGTTTATTTAATATATATTTAGCATATAATGAACATAAAACATACAGTTCAAAGGACAAAACAACATGTTGTGAACTTATACATAACATATACTGAACTTATATACATATACATATCATATACTCAGACGTGAACTCGATCTCATGCGAGGAGAATTTTCGATGCCGCTGTAAGGACTTCTTTCGATTTTGGTTTTTGTCATGGTTTGGTTAATGAGTTATGAGAGAGATTTTCTTACCATAAAAATAGAAATTCAGTTTTTGGAAACTGATACATTTTCCCATAAATTTTGGTTATTAATGTTTAAATTAGTTAATAACTGATACAATAATTTTTCTAGTACATTTGCATATAAGAACAAGATTTTAGGCTATATTACTAATATTTACAAAAACTGCTTAATTGTGTAATAAAAAGTTAAATGTTTAGTGTAGGGGGTAATTTTCTCCATATTTAAAGTCTATGTTGAAACAAACATGGCTTTGAAAATGTTGGGTGTGCAAACTCAATCTCATATTGGAAATAAAGGTTCCAAGTCTAATATATAAGTTTAGTGGACTACTCCTTCTATTACCAATTAGTATTAGAATGAAACCTCATTTGAGCTTGTATGTTGGGCTTGATGAAGAATTGAGCTTGAGTTGTGAATCCTAACGGAAAATACTCGTCAAGCACTATCGTAGTTGGAAAGAAAAAGTCTAACAATTACTAAGATTAAAAACAATAGGTCTTGTATTAGGCTGCCTAATGGTTAGACGCCCATAATTTTTCAACAAAATTACATACTTTCACACTAATGTCATACTTTCAATCACAATATAAACAAAAGCATTATGTTTTAATAGTATATACATGCATTTTTATGTGAGTAAGTATAATTGTCTAACAATTAGGTAGCCTAACAACAATTTTTGAATAAAAAAAGAGCTTTATCAATTTGGGTCCTTAAAACTCTAAAAAATAGCAAAAGCTTGGAAAACTCCATTAAAAGAACTCTGAAAAAAAAAATCGAAATTTTCTCCATGGAATATTTTCAATGAGGCAATTTCACACCAATTTAACTTTGTCTCGACTTAAATATTCAAAGGTGCGCATAATCTACAATATAACGTATGGTTATTATCTGCATTCTGCGTGATGGACGGGCCTTTTTGCCGTAAGATAGATTTTCTCTTGGGCAATTTATAATATATCTATACTTATGTAAAAGAAGATTCTATTTACTATATTTACTATCCAGAAAAGTCAACTGCATTAAATGCCATTATATTTTTGTATTATAATATTTTATTTATTTAATTGATTTATTTATTTATTTTATTTTAAAAAAGTAAGTATAATAAAAAGATTTTAATAATAAAAAAATCAAATACCAAATAAAAATGTACACTTTGACTTATTTGATTATATTTGGTATTTGATTATATTAAATATATTCCTATTTAGTATATACATTAAATACTTACTAAAGTATTTATTTGTTTTATTTGTCAAAGTTAAGTATAAATTTTTTATATTATCAAATCATAAAAAAAAAATATTAAATCCATATTGTAAAAAAAAATCATATAATTTTATAACAATTCTACTACACTATTTAACAATATTTTTTTTTTATTATATAATGAAATAATAATTAAATATTATATGGTGAACAACAATATAAGTAAAACTGTTACTTTCTCTTACATCAATGGATAAATTTATATGCTAAAATTAAATTTTTATTAGTATAAATGTTTTATTGAGATAATATATTAATTATTTTACAAGCTAGCCCTAACATGCTCATATTTAATGTTTTAAAAGATGTAGAAAAATTTTTTATAATAACTCTATTTTTTTTATACTTAAACGTTGATTAAAAGAGGTAAAAATTCCTAATTTCTTAGACTTAAACGTTGATTAACACCATAGATTGAGAATTTATATTTAGTAAAATTCCTAATTATAATAAAAAAAATTAATTTTTGCTATATTTTAGAATATCTTTAAATTCATTATAAAAAAAAAAAAGAAAAAAAACTACAATGAAGAAAGCAAGTCAACTATATATCGATTTGTTGTACTCCTCAAATCACATTCATAATTTGGCTACAAGGAAAGGAAACTCATTGATTAAAATATTATTTTGTCAGTTGTCTTAATGTACAAGAGACTTTAAGACTCCACTTGAATATTATAAAACTTTTATTGAACATTGTACAATTTTCTTGCGTATTATAAACTTTTATTGAATATTGCATCTTATAATATAATATTCTCTAAATAAATATATCTCGTGCTTTGCACGGGTCACGTATTATATATATCCCGTACATTTTTATTTATTCATATATATAATTATAAGCCTAGATAAATAGCCTTAAAATTGTGCACCCCGTGCATCGCACGGGGCTCTGTACTAGTTTTCTTGTATATGACAAAACGATATTTGATTGAATATCTGGTCCTAACACATTGCGTGTTAACGTAGCCATTGACTCTATTTCTTTGCAGACAATTTAGAGAAACTGCTTCTCATATGCTGTAAAGCACTTAATTAGACATGTAAGAAATTACCTGTTCAAATTTTGGTCTTTCTTTTTCCCGGATCATAGTGGCATGCTCACTACGTACGCACCTAATTTACATTGATCTTATGGTATAAGGCATAAAATTACAAGAAGTTTGTTTTGAAGCACATGTAGTGATGATGTGAATACATGAAATAATTGTCAGTTATTCAATCCCTCTTTTGACTCTTGAAATAATGCAATTAAATATAAAATATTATTTTGAGCTGGTGTCTCTAGAGAATAAAATTTTTGACCTGGGTTTGTTATGAATAACATGTGAGGAAATAGTAAATGGATCTCGGAACAATATTTCTAAAATCACAACGATTTAATCAAAATACCAATTATCTTTCTGACCAAAATAACAAATTAAATTAAATTATACACATACAATTATCATAATAATCAAAACGAGGATGGTGGGGGAATGAATTATTGCACCTCCCATTATTTCGCCACTATCATTTAAGTATTTGTATCAAACTTAGATATCTGACATAAGCATGATTTCTTGGTGATGTCACACTACTACCCAATAAAAAGAACAAAACAAAATGTAAGAAAAATTAAATTGAATTAAAGATATATGAAATTTCCCTCGCTATAGTGGTAGGTGGGCCATCCAGATGGACCATTTGGTATCCGATTAAAGAGTCTCTGTACAGTAGTATGGATGAAAGATTGGCAGAAGCTTCTCTCAAATCCTTAACATTGGATAAAAACATATCTTGGTGAGTTTGGCAGAAGAAGTCAAAAGTTTTCTTTGTGGAATTCGAACTTTGTGGTGGTTCTGTGAGAAAAATCAGATGCTAGTTGCCTTAGTTCCTTCACTGGTGGTGGCGCCCCACAATAAAACACTCCTGCAAAATTAATTAATTAATTATTGTGATCAATTAAGCTAATCTTTAACATATCGTTTCTAACGAAAAAAATAAATAAAAAAAATGGTCATCTCATAATTTTTCTAACTAATCCTTTAGTTTCAAGTTTCGAATGTCTAATTCACACAGTTTCGAATGTCTAATTCACACAGTTCTCTGATTACTTAAATAATACTAATAATTCCAAATTTTAGCAGTTTTGCTATGAAGCAACAGTTGGCTCCATAGTGGAGTCAATTTTCTATATACAACAAGTAAATCATACCATATTAATAAAATAATTAATATTATTTATTAAAATTTGGAAATAAATGACTCACCGACTCGTGCCGTAGGATGATTAAGTGCTATACGCTTATAGACAGTTCGCCAGTTAGGTTTCGCAAAATGCGACTTAACCCTAGTTCCCGATACGACATCAACCCCATTCTTGGCATGGTTAAGTGATTGAAGCATTGTGATCAAAGCCGATCGAGCATCTCCCTCCTCATACACACTCGTGCAGTAATTGTGCATCTCGATCACTCCTTTGTGGTCCATTTCAGACACCTCGTTCATTACGCCCTTGAACCAGTCGAACGAGCCCTGTTCCCTCGTGACCCAATAGAAGTAAGCCCTCCGAGTCTTGAAGTCGCGCCTATCAGAACCCGACTTCCTCCTAGGGGTCGATAGAGGGCTTGCGTTGGGTGTGGAGCCCCGCGTGGCCCCACCCTCCTCCTCGTCCATGGCCTTTATGTTGTTCACGATGTCTTTCACGACGCTTATCATAGGTGTGGCTCCGATTCCGAGCCCGACCAGCAGGACCACGTCGTAGTCTTTGTAATCCTGCGTGGGTGCACCGTATGGACCGTCGATCAAGACACGCGGAAAGCTGCATCGTCATTGTTATGTGCACAAAAATGTGTTAAAATCAATGTGAAATTTTGATGGAGACGAACTTGCGTTGGGTTTTTTGAACAAATCTGTCATCATTGGTTTAATTATTTATTTCTTTAGTATGGTATTATTTATTTATCTTAGCCCATATTTATTTCTCCTAGTCATTTTCTTGTTAGACAAATTATTTATTTAGGGATATTAGGAGCTCTATTTAAATGACTTATTTCTTATTATTTTACTGGGTTGATTTTGATTGAATAAACCATGTAGGGAGTTTAATCTTTATCTATCCCTTTCGTATACGTTTCCGCTACATCAAACTAATTACTATTCTTTTCACAATATGGATACAATTGTAGCGGAATAGTAGGTAAAAGGTTTTCTACCATATTCTTTGATTACCTAAATAAAACTAATATAATTTTATGAATATGGTAGGTTTTTTGATGTATATAGAAGGTTGGCTCCACTATGGAGCCAACTGTTGGCTCCATAGCAAAACCGAGTCAAACTTACTATTCTTTTCACAATGGATAAATAATATGGATAATAGTAGTATAAACATGTGTCTTTTGACAAGATGTACTAGGAAGAGTAATTGAAGATGCGAACTTAAGTGATCAAAAGTTCAATGTAGGTGGTGAGAATGTATCAAAAGAAAAAAAACGTGCATATAATGTCAACAGCGTGAACTAGGTACAATGTATGAATGTAAATTAGGCAATCTCAATATAACAAAAAATAAAAGTAAAATTGAGTAAGTAAATATATAACTTACTTGGGATTGTTCTCTCCTTGCATAAAGTCAGCCCTAAGGAGCCCACTCTTTCCCGTAGGTGGTGGCTGACAAACCTAATCACAAACAACAACTAACATAATGAATTGCCACATAACTTTTTTTATAGCCAAGTCATAAAATAATTCCAAGAACTTCATTGATATTTATCAGTTGTGGATGAACTATCGCTCTCATGGTACGAAAAAGATCTCGTAAAGGAGAAACAAGGATCAAGATTCCCTATTAAATGTATTTCATTTTTTGTTGCTTTATTTCAATTATTGCTTCTAGAAATAAATTATTTCCGCTGCTCTTTGAAAATTATATAACAAACTCACCATCATAGTCAATCAAAAATTAATATTTATTGTTTAGAGTCATCCAAATTTGCATGATTAGGGGTTAACTTGATGACTAAAATTGGGACTTATCAAAGAAAGTTATATAATTAAGGGAATTTCAAACCCGTTTATATTTCTTAAATGTATAATATATCAGACATAATTAAACAAACTCATACGTTTCTATAATTTTCAAACTATTTTGGAGTTATCTGGGATCATACAATTATGAATCATCTATAATAATATATAAATATTGTATTGACACATGTTCAAAATTAAATATGCTTGAGACATCTGTAATTAATATATCAATTCACACTTAAGAAATTTCTCCTAACAAAATTTTCTTAATCAGAAGATATGTTTTTTTTTTTGGTACAAAAGATATGTTTTTTTTACCTCTGCGAAGACAGCTTTGAGTTGCCTGGTCCAATCACCAAGAGTCCTTATGTGAACGCTCACATAATCATCCCTGGGTGCTGAAGTGATGGAAAATGGGTGCCTGCAATATTATATAAGTGGAAAAACTTTTCAACCCCATTAACTTGCCTACTTGTAATGAGATAGTAATTGGGTGATTATTGCAAAAATTTATGATAATGTAAAATANGCAAATTATGAGAGATGGGTATATTTTGTGGATACTAATGTTATTTTCCACAGTGTGAACCCACCATTCAAATGGAGAAACTGCTGCACAGTTGACAAAAATGTATTGCCCACTTTTGTATTTGAATCCTTGTGGCTTTGACATGTGCAGAGCCAATACATTTCCTGGGTAGACAGCCACCTTCAAGTGCAAAATTGACACCCATTACTATATATCATTACTGTTCATCATTTGTTTATAATTATCATTTCATATACCTTTTTTTCTACCCATATGCAAGATTTTTTCAGTCAAACAGTAATAGCAATCACTATTATTAGATCATTGATAATGTAAAAGTAAAAAAGATGAAATTAATTTGGATATCATACCTTTAAGATCTTAACAGCCTTGATGCTAGACCTGAATGCCCTGATCAATCTTTCCCCAGCATAGAGCATGATTGGAACAGTCAGATACATCCATGTCTGAAAATTAATCACATACAACAAAAATCATATTAAAAGTCTCATTCAAAAACCAAAAAAGGAACAAAAGAAAAAAAAAAAAAATGACATACCGTTTTCTTGTACCATTCATGTGTCAAGTAAAGTTTGATGCCATGAATAATGAGGAGTGCATAGACAATAACAAACAAGTGGTGCGAATACCAAAACGCATTGAACCCCGTGAGCTTGTTGAAAGGTCTCGGCAAGTCGACCCTATTCCTCCTAAACCACGGTGTTGCAAGTGTAAAAGCTATGGCCATTAGAACCACGATTACAACCCCAGTTATCCCTTCCCAGCTCAACACGAAATGCCAATAGCTCGTTGCTTGCTTGCCAAAAAATTGCTCCATAGGCTCGTATTCTTTCGGCGTGGCTGCTAGTAGCCGCGGAAAATCGCACGTTAAATGGGAAATCGCGTGTATCCCTACACCTAACGAAATTGCTATGGCAATTACTTTGTGAAAATTAAGGTTGTCGTCAAACGGGACAGCGACTCCGAGTTTTGTCCTGTTCCTGAGCCAGGTTATGGTGTTGCGGCACACGGGCAGCAAAATCAAGGCCATGTTGAGTTTTAGAGTCTCGGCGGCCCCTTTGGCCATGCACACACAATGGCCCATGACTTTGAAAACGGCTCTATTTCTGTATTGTATGTACTTGTAAGTGAAGAGGCCTGCCATTATCGCGATCCACAGCGCCATCACCCATAGTCTTTGCCAGTTGTCGAGCACAAAGTAGTGAAAGTCTCTGTACTTTCTTCTTATGAAGGTGTCTTGTGTTGGCTTAAGCTTCTCGCTTAGCATCTTGCTTAGGTTACGGCTTTCGGCACCGCCTCTCACGGATTGGCTTGGTCCTTGCAGGAGTAACATCTCCAAGTTCTCGATCTGATTAAAAGTACAAATTATCAAATATTTATAGTTTTTTTTTCTTTTTTTTTATTCAAATTTCTATAGAGTTGCATACCATTATGTATCCGAGTTCGTTGGGGTCTAATTCCTCCATGATCAGTCTCGCGTATTCATCGGCTTGTTTTTGGATGTTTGACAGCTTGTTTGCAGAGGCACTTAGGGTAATAATCTGAAATTAATTGTTATTTTTTTAAAGATCAGTGTCTTTGCATGGAAATTGATTGTCTTTGTCCTACTAATTACGCGCAAAGATTAATTAAAGTCAGTCAGCTGCAATTATATAATATATATCATATACCGATTGTTTTACATAGAGGAAGTCAAGGTTCACAAACAAAACAAAGTAATATAAAA